TTGAACAATCCTTACACGTTAAAAAACAAAAACAAAAAATAACGCAATTGTTATATAATCGGTGTCCAGTATTAACCTTTTAATTTAAAAACAGATATAACGACTAATAATTTGAACACAACTGGCATGTTGAAGTATAGTTATTAACGATCATTAAACTTTTAAGAAAAATTTTAAAAATCTAAATGAGGAAATGACCACCAAGATGAATAAAATCTATGGACAATTAATAACGATAAGCCGAAAAAAACAAACATACGTGTTACACCATGGCTTTAAAGGAAAAAGATGAAGATCAAAGATTGATCGAAACAAAACCCACCAGAACATGAATGTGATTGGAGGATGGAAAATTTCTCCTGCTCCACAAGTGGCACATGTCATGTAATTCATTTGAAGTAAATGTTCAATGGTCAGTCGCATTTCAGGGCGAATAATCGTGAGGAAGAGGACTTGATTAACTGATAATTTGAAACTTTATCTTCATAGTAACTACACATATAAATCAATTTAGCGTGTTACATTTGCAAGATTTGTTATAATCATTACTACTATGCAACTGTTGTCCTGGGAACTCTGCTCTATACATGTTATACTAAGTAAATGTTAGCAGATGATACAAATCAATGCTTAATCAAAAGAACACATATTTATTAATGTTTTCGTGTGTTGTTTTTCTTGTAGCTGCATTGCATAGGAATCCATGACTACACAAACTACAGTAATACATAGGTACGTGAACCTTATTTTTAAGCATAATACTATTGCAGATGTATAAAAACAAATAAAGCAGCACCATTAACAGTATTGTAAAGCATTATACTGTCCGAAAGTTTTAGTACCGATTTTCGCTGGATCGATCAATGTACGGAGATTGATTGTAAGATATTCTACAAAAGACATGATTATACAATTTTTAAAGGAAGCAGCCAAAACGTACCCTAAAATATCATATTTAGAACAAACTGATAAACAAGTTTCTATTATTTTCATTGAGTAATACGAAAAGAAATATAGCGAAAAAGAAAAACACTCTTAAACTCCCCAACGGTTGGTTGTATCTGCTGTTCTCGTGATTGAGAATTTTTTGTCACAGTCCAGTCAGTTGTAAATATGTCATGAATACTCGGGATAAGACCAAACTGACAATTAATAAATTAAGGAATTCGGCAAAGTTGGATGAAGGTAATTTCGACCGAAAAGAAGATGAGATGGTAAAGAATATTGCATTGGTTCACAAAAGGATCCCTTAAATGTTTATTGCAAAAGTTCTTTAGCTTGCAGAGAGTGTGGTACTCTTCCTGTTCTTACTATTTTGATTTTGAAATTCAATATGTATCACTTGCAAAATGAAATGTTTTATTCATTGCAAAATGAAATGCTCTTATTCATTGCAAAATTTTGTAACTTTTGAACGTATGTTTATCTATTTGTACATATTAGTCAATATGTCAATACGCTTCAACGTCTTACTTAAATTGGCATTTAACTATTTTGATATGAGCGTCCTTGATGAGTCTTTTGTAGACGAAACGCGCGTTTGGTTTTCAAAATTTTAATCTTGGTATCTATGACGAGTTTATTGACATTTGTTCACGAATTTTTAACGTAAAGGTATTTTTATAGAGTCACAATTAGCACACTTTTTTTATGAATATGCATGTTCTGTTACGTCATATCTATGAATTGAACATTATATGTATTAAATTTCGCACCATGTGTAACAAAAATTAATGACACAAAATATCTTCGCACACTTCTAAAAAATACATTTCCGATATTTTTCTACATGTAAACTAAGGCTCCGTGTTGAAGACCGTACTTTGACCTATAATGGTTTACTTTTATAAATTTTGACTTGGATGGAGAGTTGTCTCATTGGCACTCATACCACATCTTCTCATATCTATAAACGTTAGTTTTCTCAATTGAATTGTTTCATATTTTTCATGTCGGGGCCTTTTATCAGTGGAAAATCTAATGAACGAAAACAAAAGAAAATTTACTCTTCTTATGATAGAGTCGAGAAAGTCAATAATAAAACAATTCCGGTGACGATAGTGATCAAAAGTTATTTCTTAATAATAATTGTACATTTCAAAAAAAATATTTATTAAACTGTGTTAGAAGAAATATACATGCAAATACACTATGTTTTATGTTCGGTATTTATCGAGATAATTGCATTAGAAGCTAGTGAAACTGAAATATAAAAAAATGCCAATCCTTGCTGCATATTGATTAAAAAATTGAAGAAAATCATGTACATACAAAATGTTAAGATCCTTCAGGTCACCAATTTTCGGAGTGTTCCACAAAGTCCTTAGCATGTTACAATTTCTCAAAGTTTATTTATTTTTTCACACCTAAGTTATTGAGAGATGCCGAATTGGTCATACTAGAGTGACACACGAGTATCTTTTAAAAAATGAAGATGAACCACAATGTGTACCTTGCAACTGCAAGTATACTATTAAACATGTTTTAATTCATTGTATTGACTTTGCTGGTATTCGGAAGAAGCTTTTCAATGTCAATAATATGTATGATTTATTTAATAATGTTCCATTTACAAATATTGTTTCATTCTTAAAAGAAATTGGAATATATCATAAAATATAAAAAAATATTGTTATATTTAAAACGATTTTAATTTTTATCACGTTATCTTAGTGTTGATTTTCCAGATATAAGAGAACGAAAAAAGTTAAGTGTAATAGATATTTTTTGTCTCGCCTCTACGAAGTAATAAAGGTGTGCTGTTTCCGGTGGCGTTGGCGGGGTCAACATTTAAAAAAAAATTAATAATTTAACTTTTTAGGCTATTAAATAAAAATTTCGGAGTAACTATCACAAATTTATGTACGAAATGTGATAATAAGTGAGTAATTGAAGTGTTCAAGCTGACTGAACTTAAGTTTACGCCGCCTTTCAGAGAGGGATAAATAAAATGATTCTCTTTAAGTAAATATTTGTTGTTACTGCTTCAAAAACATTTCATTTACTTATGACTGTATATTTCTTAAATAATTACTCAGGAAAAGGTTTTTTTTTTATAGCCCAATATAAGAAATATGGAGAAAAAGAACACTAAATCACTGAGTATAGCTTGCTATGCTTACTAACATTCATGGTAGAGCCATATTTCAAGGCAAGTTTCCCTCAAATGTGTTTTTGAAACTCAATCCACTCAAAATATTTCATGTTTGCAACTTTTCTGTAAAAAAGCATGAAATTTAGAAAAATGAGAGTACATAGAGGTCAAAGGCGCATGTACAGCTTCCCTAAATAGGAGAAATACAACCATTGTTATTCCCTATTTGTCTTTGTTAAATTGACATTTTCAAAAAAAAATGTGCAGAATTAATAAAGAAATACTTAGCATGAGAAAAGTTTTATCCTGTTCAGTACTACAGTCAAAATTTCACATGACATTTCATTGCATATAAGATAATAACCATCACTAGAAGTTAACCAATTAAATTGTCACCCCTATTTTACCTGTTTACAAGCATTAGTAACCATGTCACCTCAAGATTCCAAAATATTTTATAAAAACACCATTTAAACATGTTAAAAAATGTTGCTTTGAATCACCCAAGGTATTTGTTTATGACTCAGATTTATTTTCTGCAATAAAATGCAGGATTAATTTCCTACAACTGTCAAATTCAAGGAAATATTTTTTTGAATCTTTTTTCGTATGAAACCGGATGGGACGAGAGCATTACATTTGGGGATTAAATTTTCTTACGTTAACGCTCAGCTTTTGATTACATTTGCGCGCATTTCACAGGTAACACAGGTAATAACGAAGATAATTCATAATAGATATAACTATAGTTATCATGAATTTTTAACATATTTATAAATTTGAATTATATATTTTTCATATTGAATTCTATAAGAAAAGAAAGTGATCATGAGAAATCCTGTTATAGTTAAGACATACATGTAACTTAATTGAGAATATGTCAGAGTAAATAGTAATTTGTTTCCGAATTTTACAGAATACTGATCGCTTCAGTAAATAATTTTAGTCCGTTTTAAAGTTGCGTCAAGGCACAAAGTTCGTTTGTCAGACAAAAATATCGGGGAGAAGATCATTAATGTACGATGGATTTACTTTCCGTATCGACAGAACACTTAAGTCAGGATATTTCATGGGAATGCACCGTAAATAATTGCAAACTAAGGTATTTCACCAGATTTCTTATTTTCTGCAAGTCTTTGGGAACCAGTACCATAAGCAGATTCCATGCGTACTACAAACAAACCGGAATCATCCCAAGCTCGCTACAATGAGTAATTGTATTCAGCAAATCCATGTATTTTTGTGTTATGTGTTTCCTGGAAGCAGTGGGCTTCAAAATATTCATCACGTTACGACATGTAAAATCAGTACTTTAATTTTTAGATTTTGTAATGTTATTACATTTTTATCTGTATGTATTTCAAGGACTATTTTTTACTCTTTTAAAACTATGACTGCATCTCTCGTTGGCAAAGTTGACCTTAATCGACTTCGGCTGTATTGATAGAGTCATTTGAATTTATACTATTAAACGTTTCATATTTAGGCATTCCAACATTAGTAGTCGCTAACATACTTATTTTGAAATACCTTCTTTATCATATGTAAAATGTGTGCCCAATGAACTCCAATAAGCGACGGAAATACCTTTCAATAGAATGAATAGCATTATATCAAAATACAGAGCAGCTGGAGTACTATCAGTCTTTTAGGTTACCATAATCCCCAGTGGCAATGTCCCCGGGACTAACATTTGTCATTCAATTATATAATAATGTTAAACTAGGGTTGCATTTCTAGAGATCGGTTATCAGTTGTTGTGTGGTTGTGTGTGAACGATTATACCAACCAGGGTTGTAAGTGATTTGGTACATGTACTATTAGGCCGATAGGTGAATGCATTTTTGGTGAATTCATCCATTTGAAAACTTTCATACATTGTTATGTTGAAATAATTTCTAGTTCATATGGCTCCGTCGAATTCGTTTTTTAATATTTGATTAATACAAAATTTTAACGTAATATCGATACAGTATCTACTGTATTTCGTATGTGAAGTCTACTTCAACACCCTCCATTTCTTTTCTGTACATTACATCAAATTGTTCATTTTGCGAGACCGAAAACCAGTTCTTCCAGTCTCCAATTTCCCCTGTAAGAATACAAAAAAAGTAAAAATATATTTATAATGAGCTACGGGAGGGGGGGGAAAACTTAGATAAGGAACATTTCTAAATTATGATAGTTTATGAACTAGTTCTTATAGACAAAATGTGTGTAAATGAATATTTTACACACCCATGACAGTTTTGGAGAAATTCCACAAGATTTTGACATTGCAATTTTGTTTGTATTTAGAACTCGTTGATCTGCATCAGAGCATCGCAAAAGATAAATGTTGCATTTATAATTCCAGAAATACAGTCAATCAAAACTTAAAACCTAAATAATGTGCACAGAAAGGAGCGAAACATTTGAAATGTCTCCTTTGATTTACATTTTCCCGAAAATCTGTCCTCATAATTTGGATTGCAGATGATATTTCATAATTATATCACTTTCGTCTTTTATGATATATCGATATAAGTGGATCACCGGATTCGTTTTTATTTTTAACCGAAGTATTTGTAGCGTAGTTTCTAAACAACACTGACTTATTATCTCTTGATATTTACCTTTTCTAAACAACACTGACTTATAATCTCTTGATATTTACCTTTTCTAAACAACACTGACTTATTATCTCTTGATATTTACCTTTTCTAAACAACACTGACTTATATTCTCTTGATATTTACCTTTTCTAAACAACACTGACTTATATTCTCTTGATAATGCAACTGTAGCATCCTGTTTATGATCTTTTAACTTTTGAAAGACATTTTTATCGGCAACTTCTGCTATAAACTGATCGTCAAAGGGAACTTCCAGGAACTCAGCAAGTTGTTTGATTGTTTCAATCGGGCGCTACAATGTATATGTTAAAGTTAGAAATCGACATTTGGAAAATTGGTGTTGATAGCTAGTCTTTATTCTTTTTATTCACAACTGTTATTGACTCATAGTTGTTGACAGCTTGACATATTGTATAGAAACAATTATAAACAAAATACCGAACTCCAAGTCAAATTCAAAAAAGGTAAGTTGAAGATCGTATATTGTCCTATCGATGTTGTTATGGCGCTTGTTTCCTGTCTCGTGTATGTATCTCCAACATCATATTATTCATATTTGACGTTTGCAATATCTGTCACAAACGATGATCAACAAACCTCGTGATATGTAAAGGTTTAATTTTTTTTTCATTAGGCAATTGTTTTTCTTTTTTTTAATTAGATATTTAATGTCCATAATATACTATAGCTAGTATTTAGATTTGCTAGTATTTACATGTAGATTCAATATCTAACTTCTGTTAAACATTTGTGGCAATCGTGAACTTACTAAAATTTATAGAGGTTCAAGTTCTGTAATGGTTGATATTTATTTATACTCGAACTAATAGTACTTTATGCAACGATGAATGTGTAGAAGTTTCTTTCAAACAAGAATTTGTTACTATAAAGTTCGACTATATAAACTATGCATCTGTTTAATAAATGTGTCCTTCTCATTAGAGATAGGGAAGTCAATCGGGAAAACTCGGCAGATTTCGCTTCTCTTTGTTTAGATCTGCCGATATGTGTTGAATGATAAATAAGGAATTTTGAAACTGTTACATTAACCCTTAAATTCTGTTACATTTTGAAAATAAAATTTCAGTTCTGTGAAACTCGCATTGTTTTATTTTAGTCGAATTACTGTCGATTCATTATCATTCGTTGGATACCAATTTTTGAGGATTTCGTGGGTACAGGGGAACAACGAATTCAAATGTTCAACGAATTGTAAATTTTCTAAAGGAATGTATGCAAACTTTGCCAAAGCCACGAAATTAAATATCCAAGAAAATGCAAGTTTTTCTGACTCCACGAATATAGGTATCCGAGAAAATAAAAGAATCCACAGTAACCGACAAACGCAAATAAAGTCTTTATAATCGTTCTACCAATTTCAAATCTTCAAACAGCACACCATGCACATTCTTGTTATTTCTTGCAGCATTTGTCATTTCTTTCGTGTAATTGAACCAACCAGTTAACAATGTATCTATAATGATATGAAAGTAGATTAAAAGAATGAACTACATGTAACAGCATAATACGCGAACAAGAGATGACATAAACACAAATGGCAGTTTACATTCTAGTTAAAGGGAAACTGACAATGTCATGGCAAAAATACGAAAACGGCCAAAAGACAAAACGAGTCCTAAAACACTACATAGAAAACCGAAAGACTGAGCAACATGAACACCACTAAAATCCTGATTGATCCTTCTTCCCGTAACATTTCTACTCGGGTGTCATAGCTTTTGTATGGCTTGAACCATTAATGTTTTTGTATGGCTTGGATCTTCATTGTTTTTGTATGGCTTGGACCTTCAATGTTTTTGTATGGCTTGGACCTTCATTGTTTTTGTATGGCTTGGACCTTCAATGTTTTTGTATGGCTTGGACCTTCAATGTTTTTGAATGGCTTGGACCTTCAATTTTTTTGATTTGATCGTTCCTAATGAAGGTAAATCCACAAAAGAGCTTCGGACGCGCCACATCTATACAAATTCTATGTTCATAAAACGTCTGTATTTTCATACCTATATGAGGTATATGTATGGAAATAAATAAAGTTTACTTTCACCTTAGCTCATTTTCAAAAAATGCGCGAGGTAATTTCATAACACGATGTGCACCTTCTTTTAACTTAAATGTGTTTTGTGAATGTCCATTTAGTATCTTCTTTTACAAATGTAGATTGATTTAAAAAATTATGGTAATATTTCATCATTCATAACTTTTTGCTTCTTCAAAAAACATATAAAACAGCAGGTAGATTTATGCTCTAGAATTATATTAAGATTTTATTTGTATAGTATCAACGAACCGAACATTATAGTTTTATACAAATGAATAGTAAATGAAAAAATGAACGTATTGAATTTTTAACCTAAATAACTTTTTTCTTTGTCAATTATACACAAATTTTGGATTATGACGTACATAAAAAATAAATACGTCTTTGTTATGCAAAACAATTTTTAAAGTTGTTTTGTAAAGTATCTACGGGTCTAAAGCTTACACAAACGTAATTATTAAAAAGAAAACACTTTACCATTGATAACCACATCTTCATAATACTGCTTCCATGTCCAATTTGGAGGAACACCATTCATCTCTTTCAACCAATTGTACTGAGAAACGTGTCTATCCTTAGGATTTCTGTTCACATACACGACTTTAGCCTTTTTGTCTATATGCTTTGACGGCAAGAAGCTCCAAGGAAGATGTGAATGTAGAATTCTTCGCCTATTTTCAGCCTCCAATAATTGAAAGTCGGTCATAAAATCTAAATGGATTTTCAGTGTAGCGGCCCTACTGTTATATTCTGTCGTGTGGTCTACTAGCATGCATATAATCTCATGAACCCAATGTGTACCTGGTAGAAAAATCGTGAAAAACAATAACATCTACATTTCTTAAACGATAAGCAAAAGAATATTTTTCCCAAAATAGATATGGACTTTCGTGTTTAGCTTTGTAATGATACAGGACATTGTTTTTACAGTAAAAGTTTTAAGCAAAAAATATGTAGTCATATGAATACATGTAATTAAATATGAAAGCGAACACAAAATATTATATATGTAATTATAAGATATTGATGAATAATTTGACTTTGATTGGAAATTAAAATGGAACTTACCTGTTTTCGGCGCCGTGCATAATAAAATGTCATCATCCCTGGAAGGAAATTCCTTTATGTCCTGGAACTGTTTTTTGGGATTTTCCTTCAAGCAAGGCCATGCAAAATATGTTGATTCTTCATACTCAATGAAAGGATAGATGGCCAGTTGTAAGTCTCCGTCTGCACGTCTTAAAAAGAAATGTTTTGTATTACACACTTCATACGAATATATATATTTAACAACTATGTAACAATGGCTGAAAGCGCTTAACAAAGGCAACAGTAGTATACCGCTGTTCGAAAGTCATAAATCGATTGAGAGAAAACATATCCGGGTTACAAAACTAAAACCGAGGGAAACACATGAACTATAAGAGGAAAACAACGAAACAACAGAAAAACTGAAAGATTGATTATATGTCATTAAAATATTTATTGAGATATACGACAAAAGCATTTTTGGCATACAATACAGTTACAGCTGAGGTTATGACGTCGCTAAAGAAAAAAGGTTTTCGCTAACACTTCTAATCATGTAATTAAGGTCTTTCCTTTCTTAATGGAAAAACCTTACTGTATTTCGTTTGTTTATTATTATTATTATTCTTTTTCCTCGTCCGATTTCAAAGTCAAAAGTCAAAAAAAGTACGCGACAGATCCAAATGATCTTTGGTGCCAAGTATTGGATTAATAAAATCTATCTTGTATTAGGGGAACCAAAGTGTACTATTTACCTTATAGGAGTTATCTCCCCAATTACAAAAACCATTGTTATCGCTACTCTTCATAAACTATAAGAGTTAGCGGCAAATGTTTGTTTTTAAATGTTCCTTGCCACTTGTCGCAGCTTTAAATAACTTTAACCGAAGCGATCCAGTGACCTCTTATAGGAGTTATTTCCCCTTGAATATTTTACTTTTCGGTATGCATAAGAATCTCATAAACCGTAAGTTGTAAAGACCTAGGGTCTTTTTATTTGAGATCATTGGACCATAACTTGAAAATGTAGGTCAAGGTCAAAGGTCAAGGTCATATTTTAGATTTTGACATTTCGTTGATTTCCCTATAATTCTCAAATGGTTATAGATAGAGAAAATTTAAATAGTGAAAAATGCTTGGTACTTCAAGGGGCAACTTTGTTACATTATGACTGTATTGGTTTTATCATTGTGTAAGGGACATAACCCCCATTGATGGTTTGTAAAAAGACATTATTAGGCAAAACTCTTAAACAAAAGGCCTAGACCCATAGGGTCTTTTGCAATGACATTGTGGACCAATGACCTTGACCAAGGTCACAAGGTCAAGGTCATGTACAAAGAGGCAAATTATGTGTTTTTGGCACTATTTAAAGAGTTTGATGTGTGTTTTTTGTAGGTTGACATTGACCTTTAACCTTACTACTTGTTAAGTGATCTCTCAAAAGATAAATCCCATGTGTTTAGATATAATATTTAGGCTTTCTATTCCGTTTTTGCATGATCAAAGTGGATCCGTTCTCTGTGTTAACCAACCAACCAACAAACCAACCAACCAACCAACCAACCAATCAAACAATCAATCAATTAGTCAGTCAGTCAGTCAATCATTGCATGCATGTTTCTGTCTCATGTGTTTAATATGGGGACCAAGATCTTATTTCTTTCTATTTCGATTGTTTGAATAGACCATATCCCACGTGTTTAATTAATTAATTAATCGATCAATCAATCAATCAATCAATCAATCAATCAATCAATCAATCAATCAACCAACCAACCAACCAATAATAAACCAACCAATCAATCAATCAATCAAGCAACCATTCAATCAATCATTGCATGCATACATGTTTCCGTCTCATGTGTTTGATATATGGGGGTCCAAGATCTCATTTGTGTTTTTTTTTTCGCTTGTTTCAAGAGACCACCATATCCCACATGTTAAATTTTTTAACCAACCAACCAATCAACCAACCAATCAACTAATAAACCAACGATCTAACCAATACTTCATTGTATGCATGTTTCCGTCTTATGTGTTTAATACGGGGTCCAAGATCTCCTTTGTTTCGTTTTTGCTTGTTTCAGGAGACCCTATCCCACGTGTTTGATTAATCAAATAATCAATCAATCAATCAATCAATCAATCAACTATATCCCACATGTTAAATTAACCAACCAACCAACCAACCAACCAATCCATAAACCAACCAACCAACCAAGCAATCATTTATTGTGTGCATGTTTCCGTCTCATGTGTTTAATACGGGGTCCAATATTTCCTTTGTTTCTTTTTTCATTTGTTTCAAGAGACCCTATCCCACGTGTTTAATCAAATAACCAACCAACCAATCAACAAATCAATCAACCAACCAACCAAAAAATTAATTGATTAATTAATTAATCAATCAATCAATTAATAAACCAACCAACTGATCAATCAATCATTCATTGTATGCACGTTTCCGTCTCATGTGTTTAATATTGTATTTACATCTCTTCTGAAAAAAAAAATCCACATGCTTGTTATCAGATGTTCTGGGAAACTACATGTCCAGTTGACCCCAAAATTTGCAGTCAGCAGGGTATACATGTATTACATCTCCATAAAACAACGTGGTGCAGATATCTCCCAGGAATTTTCCTACAGAAAAGAAATTGCAAAGCCGTTAAAATCGCTTGCTAGCTCCGTGAATCTCAGTGAAATCCTACAATAAAATGTCCGCTCCTAGATTAAAATACAAATCTGTGTTACAAACTGCTACTGAAAAATGTACATCAGATGAAAATAATCAACAAACGTCTTTTAAAATTACACAGGATCAATTAAATCCAAAGCATGCACTGCTCGTAAACTGTGATAAAAATGTCAATTACCTACAATGACAAAAGAAATACATTTTGTAAACTCCGTCGCTATAAATGTTGTCTGTTTAACGTCCCCACCTAAAAAAAAATAAAAATGCTAAGTTTTTGCTATTATAAAGCTTCGTCACGTGACGCCACAATCTGGCGCGAGACAAATGCGCGCCCGGGACCTGAAATAGAATAAAAACTTTCCATCTAACTAAATATAGAAACTTAAACAACACACTAATATGGACCCTTTAAAGAAAGAAACAAACAAACAAACAAACAAACAAACAAACAAACAAACAAACACACACACACACATATCAATCAATCATGTTTCAGAAGGGGGGAAAGACCGTTTACAATTGCTTTTTTAAAGCAATTGATTTATATTTCTTTGTGTTTTTTTCGCAAGACTAACGAAGGCTAGAGGTTCCTGATTTGGGACAGGCGCAAAAAGTGTTAAGGTAGATAGGGTGTCTTCCTCCATCTTGGATTTTGAAATACCAGAAAATAATCGGTCTAGACCTTTAATAAAATATGCAAATTTTAAGAGTAGTGGGTAATTCATGTGTAAGAATTTTCATTCTAATATAGAAAATGACATGTTTTATTATATTTATGGTTGTATTTTACAAAAAACAGAATAGTTTTGTTTGATTCAATTTTTTACAACTTTGCCACATAAGGGGAGGCAACTCAAATGTAAGGGCAGATAATTCAGATAAAGTTACTTTTACGATATAATGTGTTAGGAATTTATCTATTTTATTATGTAGCAAGAAAACAGGCCCGGTTATTCCATTTTTTTCTTTTTCTTATCTGAAAGTATAATATTAGACCTATCTTCTCATATTTTATCTCAAATATCTATGGTGTAGTTTTCGTTTTATGGCAGAAAATTGCGTTTTCCATGCATAATCTATACAAAATCTGCCAATTTTGCACAACCTGTAGCGTGAGGTTATGACGTAGCTAAAGCAAAAAAATTTTTTCCGCAGATTTAAGTCATAAACTTGAAAATTATGTAGGAAGATTATATGTGGCAATTTCTAATGAAAAAAGTCCCCGATGAGGTTTTTTTTTAAAATTAAATAAATAAAAAGCACAAATTGCCAGCTTTTTACAAAAATCATGAAATATTTGACAGATAACTATTTCCAAACAATTGTTACGCAAATGTAATGCATATATGTGTAAAGAAGAAATTGCAAAATGTTTTTACCACAAAAAAATGCGTGTGTTTATCTTAAAAGGACACAAATGACGAAAAAGATCAAAATGTTTGGCAAAAATCTACAATTTCGACCACATTTATCTTTAACAGTAGCACATGAAGGTATAGTTTTATAACATATTTGATTTGATCAGGTAAGAATGACACATGCATGGCTCTACAATCTGACGATACCTGTATCGTAGCATTGCACAAGGTCATGTTTTTCTCTGACTGTTAATGACGTCTTTACACTAAATCCATTGGATGTTGGATGTGTACTGAATGATATTTTAGTCTTAGATGCATGATTTTGTTAGTTGTTATTGGCTTTGAACTAACTGTCAGTAACTGCGAGTACTCTCAGATCTGTACTTAGTGTCTTTTTTGTTGTGGGGATGTACACGTACCCTGCCACGTCCGGTTTGTGTTTTTGTTAGATGTATCTCTGCTTTGTATCGATCTGATTTGTTAAGCCCTTTTCAACTGATTTTTAGCTCACCTGGCCCAAAAAGAGCTTTTCTCATCACTTGGCGTCCGTCGTCCGTCGTCCGTCGTCCGTCGTCCTGCGTCCTGCGTCCGTCGTCCGTAAACTTTTACAAAAATCTTCTCCTCTGAAACTACTGGGCCAAATTTGACCAAACTTGGCCTCAATCATCATTAGGGTATCTAGTTTAACAAATGTGTCCGGTGACTCGGCTAACCAACCAAGATGGCCGCCATGGCTAAGAATAGAACATAGGGGTAAAATTAAGATTTTGGCTTATATCTCTGAAACCAAAGCATTTAGAGCAAATCTGACATGGGGTAAAATTGTTTATCAGGTCAAGATCTATCGGCCCCACAATTTTCAGATGAATCTGACAACCCGTTGTTGGGTTACTGCCCCTGAATTGGTAATTTTAAGGAAATTTTGCCGTTTTTTGGTTATTATCTTGGATATTGTTATAGATAGAGATAAACTGTAAACAGCAATAATGTTCAGCGAAGTAAGATCTACAAATAAGTCAACTTGATCAAAATGGTCAGTTGACCCCTTAAGGAGTTATTGCCCTTTATAGTCAATATTTAACCATTTTTCGTAATTTTTTGTAATCTTTTCAAAAATCTTCTCCTCTGAAACTACTTAGACAAATTA